CTTTAAGGACTGCAGCAAAAGCTACCCACTTCGAAGGTACTAACATCTTCCCACTGATGACCTACAAGCACTGTTTTGATATGACTGAGAAATAAAGTCACAGGGCTATGAACCGTTAAAGATTAACTAATCTCTGAGATAGAATGATCAAAAGAACTAAGAACCTTTTAGAAGAGACTTCCTGTAGCAGGGGTGAATTTTTGACTTAAAGGGAAAAAAACTTAAAGGCCAGGCTAGCCTGCTGGATGACTTCAGTGGAGAACAATTAGTAATTCACCAACCCTGTGAGTTACTCATGCCTTCAGCGTGTTTTAAGACCTCCTTTATCTTAACTTGTGCTGAGGTAATTTCAGTTGATACTATACAGGAGACTCCAGCTCCCGGCCAGCTCTGGGAATACAGGGCACTGTGTTACTCCATCCAGAAGAAACCACAGCTTGAATCCACCTGTGTCTGCTATTAAGAGGACTAGGAAGTATCAGGTTTGCAGGTCTATCACTCTGCCTCAGTAGTAGGGCTAAGGTTGGAGCCTAAACACATTATAGAAACAATGTGTGGTAGTTCAGATTCATGTGCCTAGTGTCTGCTAGAATCATCTGAGGCACAGAAAGGAAATCAGGTGCACTTCACAGAATTTACTGATAAATCTAACTAACTGAACAAAAAACTTTGCTCTCTTTCAATTGTATCTGGTACTATGAGAAAAATAAATTGTTGGTTTTTCTGGTAAAGTATTAGCAAGCAATGTCCAGGAACCTGATTCACCACCATGAACTGCATGTGCAGCGTTTACAGTTACAGGATGGTTTGGATTGCGTTGGACACTTCCAGGGATGTGACAGCCACAGCTTCTCTGGTTAACCTATGCCAGTGCCTCACCATCCTCATATGGAAGAATTTCTTCCCAGCAGCCAATCTAATCCTGCTCTCTTTCAGTTTAAAGCCATTCCCTTGTCCTGTCACCCTTGGGAAAAGTCCCTCTCCAGCTCTTTTGGAGCACCTTTTGGTACTGGTAGGCCCTCTAAGATCTCCCTGAAGCCTTCTGTTCTCCAGGCTGAACAGCCCCTAACACATATACTTGAAACCAACATTTTTCAGGTTTGGTCACTGAACAGCAAACTGATCAGCAATTTTGGAAGCTTTGTCTTTTAATGGGAAAAAAGAGGACTCTACCAGATTAATTTTCTAGGCTCTTGTTTCACAGGAGCTCTGGTAATGCCATGTTAACAACCTACAGTCCAGCTTTGACGTGACGACAAATTTTTGCATACTGCCATTTTTAATATATGTGTTTTTTTTTTTTTTTTCATAACCATTAGAAAGGAGCTGATTGCCAGGCTGGAACAAGTGGAAAAAGAAAGCATGGATGCTGCTCAGCTGGCTAAGGAGTACGCAGAACTGACAGAGGAGAACCGAACACTGAAGCTGGCCCAGACGCAGTGCGTGGAGCAACTGGAAAAGCTCAGAATACAGTATCAAAAAAGACAGGGTTCCTCATAACTCCCAACTGGCTTGTGTGAGGCAGTTCATAAATGGTTGGTCCTGTGCTGGAAAGAGATTTTAAAATAAGGATCTGTTTAATATGTTATAATACTTTACTACAGATACGGAGTATGTAGAAGTCTATATTTGATTCAATGCTTGCCAGCCAGTAACTTAATATAATGGATATTTTATCCATTATATAATGGATATTTTATTTCAAGTAACATAATTGAAGTTAATCTATCTCCATTATATGTTCTACTAGATCAAGTTTCTTTTCTAAACATATTTCTTCCAATTTAAGAAGATATGGACACACTAGAAAATGGTATAAATAGTTCCTGTGTTGGAAATTTGGATCATACTAAGGCATACAGCAGGGACAATGTTAGTATATGGAATACATGTATGTTAAATTTAGTTTGGTGAAGATTTTTTTTGAATTATTTTCCTCATGCCTGAAGTGTTTGGAAGTTATCTTAAAACAGATCTCCTCGC